ATGCTCCCTGCATTAATTTTGGTTCTTGAAAATACTGCAGTGAAATAAAGATGTAAATCTTAAAATACATAGCAAGTTTGCATGCAATCCTAACAAGTTCTCATTTTCTGAACTGCCCAAAGGAAGAAGGCACAGATCAGTTTGCTGTAATTTTATGTGGCAGGTCTCCCATTTACCTAGACCATTACTTGATCCAGAGGTCTCATGAAAAAAAAAGAAAAATAAAGAAGGGCAGGAATAAACTTTAGTCTTTCCTAACTCTTAGCAAAATAAGTGACAGAGGTGACCAGAGCAGGACTAAATTTCTTGGAGGAATACTACGATTCTTACTGAAGAAAAATAATCTGTTCTCACTTTTTTTTTCCCCCCCATCAATTCCCATTTTTCCCTCTCAAAAGGGCTTTTCTGCAAACACAACCAGTTGATGTTCGATTTTTCCGGAGAATTTCTCAGCTGAGTGGGAGAGGATCTTTAGAATGCACATAAAAGACAAAGGTTCAAACAAAAGCTGAATTCGTAATGAGCAGGAGTTTATTTTAGTAAACAACAGAAACTGAAGGCTGAAAAGATCTCATCTCATTTAATCGTCTAATAGATTTTTCTTACCTACCCAATTCTCAAACTACATGTTTGAAAGCCAGTTCTATTGATGAAAGTCTCCACAAAAGCATTTGAAACACCTACTTGTTTCAACAGTGAACTCACCTCAGCTTCAACCTGGGCTTACAAATACTTTGCTTCAGCAAACAGGCAGAAACTCTTCTGGTAAGTACACAGCCTTCAACACAAAACTCTAAAATCCAGATTTAGCCTTCCTAATTCTTTGTGTTTTTAAGGGTATTCACCTATTGACTTCAGTCAGCTTTCATATTCCCCCAAAATTATCAGCGCTACGCAGGGCTAAGAAATATCAAATTCTAAACACCTTAACAGCTTACCTAAGAATACTTCCATAGAAGTCCCATGAGTTAGACTGATGCAAAACTCCTCAAATATTACTGGATTGATTTTTGAATAACTTTATTTTGTAAGTTAATAATCTAAACAACATAAATCTGGTGTAAAAGTCATTCCAAAAGTACTACCACATGTTTAGTACTACCAGAATGAGAAATTAATTAAAAAATAGCAGGAAAAGCAAGGAAGGAAATGCCCGAACTTAAAGAGTTGGGTGTTTTTAAACCAGGGAAAAGAGTTTCCGAAACATATAAACAAACAGATATAAATGCAGAGAAAGACATACTTATGCAATTTTATAGCACTCTAATCAAGTATATTGGTACCTAACTACGATGCAGTAATTAAAAAAATCATGTCTAAAATTCTTATTAATCTTAAGAGAAGAAGAAGCTGAAGCCAGTGACCAAGTATGTCTTTTCTATCAAGTACCATACTCGGATTGTCACATGGGGCTATTTCCTCATACACTCATAAATAATCTAAGTAACTTAAGCATCCCACAGTACTATCTAGTTTATCTGTTTTGAAGACAAGCCCTCAGTTTTCCAAAGCTCACAAGGAGCTCAATACACTACATATAATTCAACAGTCCACCAAAATATTCTATGAACAAAAAAGAGCTCCAAGTTTTTCAACACGGTATGCCATCACTTTCAAACTAAGGAGTTTTATTCCATATTATTATTCTTCACCTGATAATACACAGAATTTCATATTGAACTGACAATAAAGTAATAAGTAAAGACAGTACTTGAATTTTTCCATTTTACAGTCATACAGCTCTCCATTGCAGGTAGAAACTTCAGCTATTTTATGAACCAAATATTACTCCAGAAAAGTTTAACGACAGTTTGCATTAAGTAAAGGGCTACTCGTGTACACTTCTAATATTAAGGAAACAAGAAGATTTCCTCAAATTGGAGGAGACAAAAAATATTAACATAACCAGATCTAATACGAAAATGTGCAACATTATGACTTTTTTTTATTCCACCTAATAAAAAATACCTTTTATCATCTGCATTTAGTGGGGATGAGGACAGATGTTGTAGAAAGACACTGACATTATCAAGTATTACAATTCTTCTACTAATCCAAAACACGGGAAGTCAAAGGCCTAGCTAACATCAACTCATCAGCATAACTCTATACCAAAACTAAAACCTCCTTGAGCAACAGAAATAGCTCTGTACCTATCCTTGTTTCAGAATATATTTCCTTTTTAAAGACAAAACAAACTCAATGTTATAGAAAAAAAAAAAAAAAAAAGTGTCACCATTCAGTATCTACTTATTCCGAAAATGAATGCATGCATCATGAGGAAAAATAAGGTGTCCTTTAAAAATAATCCCATTTCAATGCAGTCTGCTTCCTGAGTCATTTGTTTGAAATGCCAGTCCCAGGAATGCTAAGATTTAGATGACGATTATCTCCTCGACATTATCCCAATTTGATTACACAGTGTTTACTACATCAAAGCCAGAAAAAGCACAGTAATAGATTCAGTGACACACCCACTTGGAACACTGAAGACCTATTATTAAAGAACCATAAGAATCATTTTCAAAAGGTTTTTATTTTCAAACACAGTCTAGCATAAGATCTTACCATAAAGCAAGGCTGTTAAATATTTTCATTCAACCCACATATTTGAAGCTGTGGCTCAGAAGCTAGGTGAAATTATTTATGTGATCAGGAAACTCGACTATCCTTCTTATATAACTCTCCTGCTGGACACATTACAGAAATTCAGCAGCCAAGTTTCACATGGTTGAACACATCAATAAAGTGCCATTAACATTCATTCCCCTGGAACTCCACCACTCATATCAGAACTCAAAACAATACATTTCTTTCAGGCCAGACCCTGAGCATTTTTTTTTAGCTTTTTTTTTTTTTTTTAGCATTTTTAGTTTTAGCAAAATTTTATTTTGCTTTGATCTACATAATAAGTATTGACATTTAGCAAATACGTACATTCAAGCAAGCAGGTTGAAAATGCGTATGTGGGGATGCCTGCGTAGACAAGGTCGTAACAGCCTGTGCTGCTTTCCAGTCATGCGGGCACACGGAGGTAGCTAAGACTCAGACAACTAGAATGATTATAATCAACACATCATCCAGAGTTACGCCGCACAGGATAGTGATTACAATGTTGTCACCCTGTCTGCGTTAGCTCTCGCATCTCGCCTAGCATTCAGCTCCACTGGTGCTAGAGAACTTTAAAAGGAGAAGCTATCATCAAGCACAAGCCTCAACCCAGCCTGAGTAGCTACGCCTGTGAAACAACAAACATATTTAACTAAGGATGACAAACTGGTCCTACCATCTGAACCTCTCAGCAGACTTGACAGCACTACCCCTGCTATCCTCCTACATCGATCAAATCACAGAGAAGTGTTGTTTGTGCAACATGTTTTCAAAGATGTGGCACAAATTTAAATATAAGCAGAGCTATTTAGTGTTGGCTATCAGCAAAACAATCAGCTTAATGTCTCTCTTAACTGTGACGATAAAACCGTGAACACAAGATCTCAGGAGGAGTACACAAACAAGCTACCACTTGGTTTATTCATGCATAAGCACAGGAACCGCTCTACAATAGCTGTCCTTACACATTTTTTTTTTAATCCAAAGAAAACAAGCTGATATTTTCCAGTTACTATAGCTAATACACTCTTTGTAGGCTTATTCTATGATAAATTGCTGAATGCAAAGGTATAGAAAAATACTGTTCTATATTCTATACACAGTTTTAATTTTCACTCCTCTATATTTAACTATGCAAACAGAACAGCAGAGGGTGAAATCCTTAGCACATTCTTGTCCTCAGACCTGTGCAGTTTTTGTCATTTGTTATACAACACCAGTGTAACGTAAGCTACAAGAAAGCAGAACAGAACAGTGAAACAAACACGTTGTCTAGTAACAAAAACCCCTTTTAGAGAGCCTGGCACAAGTTCTGGTCACATTTTTGAAGACTTACTTCTCAGTATATTCTTTGGAATTTTTTTCAGTGTTAACTCAATGGTTTTCCTACAAGTATGCAGAATAAACCATGCAACACTTGCCTAAAACCCATCTCACAATGTTTACAACGCATCTTACACAGAGCAGCTACCTTCTGCTCAACACTAAGACAAGAGCAAAACCTACCTAAAGCCTACAGCTCTCTGGGTACCCTCACTGGTAATCTTCTCTTGCAGAACTCACCCCAATGATGGTTTAATAATGGAAAACACACAGCATAGTGAACAAAAATTTTTGAATGTACCGAGTAAAGCCTGCAACTTGTCAAATATTAGAAAAACATCATTTTAGCTGGACCAATACCCATGGCTGCCATTTGAGAATTTTTCAGTTGAGGACAGTCTGACTATCTAGAGAGGCAAACTTTCTAAGATGATCCAATCAACACGACCTCTAGAATTCTACATTGGAGCTCTAATTCCATGCTCCTCTTTCAAAAAGAGCATACAGCAATTATACCATGATGGACATACCCCTTCAAGCATACTAAAATCTGAAGAAAAATTACTGAAATTAAAATTTAAATTAAAAAAAAACAAAAACAAACAAAAAAAACAACAACCAATACTGGAAACAAAAACAAGGAATCTGCAAGGCAGTCACATGAAACTTTCAGATTACAGAACAGGGCTTGGATCAAGACTCTGCTCCCAACAACCAAGTAAGATCTTGCCTTTCTGAGAATATGGCATGACAGTGCATACATACAAGTGTCAAAACCACAGAAACTCAACATCTTCTTGACTTGCACAGATATTTGCTGCCAGTTCGTCAACTCATAGCAGAAATTTCATTTGAATTCAAATCCTTAAGTAACTTAAAAAACATTAACACAAAAACTCAAGAAATGGTTTCATCTACAGAGGATGTCTTTAGGATTTCATAGGACCAGCTTGAACGATTCTTTCCAACAACATCCATTCTTAGTTTGGAAAGAGTTCAAGACTACAGCGGCATTCAGACGAAGTAATTAGAATTACAGCACTGTGACAGATAAACTCTCAACTTACTTTACATAGTATCTTGCACCTTCGAAAGTGTAAGCTTCCTCCCAACCTGTGGGTAAGTCTGGAAAAAAAGTAGCAAAGAACAGTAATTAACTTTTGAAGCACTGCTGGTTGCACTAGTCTACTCCCTAACACTAATGCACTTAACATTCATTCCTCACTCTAGATGCTGAAAGCTCTAGTCCTACAAATGAGATTTTTAAATTGACTCAAAACACTGTCTCATTACTTCTGTAATCTAAGACAAACAGCTCACACAGGGATCTGATTTGGATTTGTCATTCCCGAATAGTAACAGTTCAAGCCTGTCTTGTTTAGCAATGTTTTCTTCTTTGTCAAGTCACTGGAACTCACAATCATCTCCAGTCCTTTCTGCCTTCAACTTCAGTAGCATCAAATCACCTGACAGGGAGAGATCTAAGCAAAAAAATCAATGCAAGGAGCTTGCACAAGTCACAGGCTTCGTAACAGGCATGGTATCAACTACACCACACAGCTATTTCATATTAGCATAATTCCACCACTGATGTGACTAACAAGCACTCCTGCAGTGTTTACAACTCTACCCAGTTTCAGATAAAGTAATTTTCAATGCAAATCTGGTGGAGGAATTGGGTACATCTTTTCCCTCTCTGTTATCACTCTTGGGAATCAGGAGCCCACATAAAAAAGAAAAAAAATCTCTCTGGAAAAAAAATCCAAACCACTACTAATGGTCAGCTACTTTCAAGTAACGGTTTCCTGATGTAATGGAAGATCTGAAGGCATTGGGCACCACTACGCAACTCTAATTCATCACTGCCATTAAGTTTACTCCAGTTGATAAAAGCACTAATTGATAGGCAGGATTCACTGACTGAATTAGAGAAGTAACAATATATTTTCTGTTAAAAGCAGAAAACACTCAGTCTGGAGGATGTGATTTTTCCTATTTGCTTGTTTGCTCTGGATGGCTTTTATTTCACTGCTGTGAAATATCCGGGGGAAATAAAAAAAACCACCAAAACAGAATCAAAGCATTCTGATACTGTCAGAGGGCAAAGTCCATCAAACAGGAAGACTCTCCAGCAGAAGTATTTATGGATGCTATAAGAACTTGGCAAAAAGAATACCCTTCCGGGGTATTTCTCCAGAAATAAAAAGCTCTTCAGTTTACAGCACAGGATAAGTTTCTCTTTGTCGACTAGTAAATGTTTCACAGTATTATTTACTAACAAGCTTCACAATACAAAATTGAAAGAGAAATTCATTCACTCAGAAATGGTCTCTTCTGACATATTTTAAACTTCTTTTGAGTATGTTCAGAGATGAATTAACAAACACATGTACATACACAAGATGATTTTCTCTGCAGGTACTTCTACTCTACTTCTGATCTACAGATCATGGCTATGGTAGTCAAGGTCATACCTCACTGAGCATTTGGAAATAAATTTCATTTCACAGAATCATAGAATTGCTTAGGTTGGAAGGGACTGTAAAGATCATCAAGCTCCAACCTCCTGCCGTGGGCAGGTTTGCCAAAAGTTATTTACCTGATAATAACTCCCCTAACACTGTATCCAGCACTACAGATGCTCTAAAGCAAGCTGTGCTTCCCTTAGAAGGGGCTTAATGGTAGAAATAAATGAGACACTGAGAGAATTGCTGGTGAATCACCATCAGTCAACAGTTGCCGCTGACAGCTCAAAAAAAAAAAAAAAAAAAAAAAAAGGAATTAATGCTCAGCTAATATTAATGTCCAAGTAGCAGAGCACTTCACATACATCTGCCCTCATGCACGCTGCTGTGGATGAAAGCTGCTTTCTCAATTAATCCGAGTACTGAGAGTGGGGAAAAGAAGAGCCTGATATCAATCAGCAATTCTGTTTCCCGGCATTAAATGACTCCTTCAGCATCAGCCCTTCACTGCAGATTAAGCCACAGAGTTCTGATAGCCAGAACCCACGCTCTGTGAACTCCTCCCAACTCGCAGAAGACCGTCCACAGCTTTCTAAAAGCCCATTTCCTATTCTTAAAGAACGGGAACACGTAACAAGCACGAAACAAACACAAACATCAACCAGCTCGGTGTGGTCCGATCGGCGGGCAGCTCTCCTGCGGTTACACGCAAAAGAAGAAGCGCTGGGAGCCGCGCTCCAGCACCTCCCGGCGGCAAACGCACCCCGCGATGCGGAGATGGGCGCCGGGGCTGCACCCCCAGCGCCTCCCGCTGCTCCCGCTCCGGAGCTGACACCGCCTTCCTCCCAGCGAGTTATCCCAGCGCTCGGGTCCCCTTCCTCTCCCCCCTCTGCCCCTCTCGCAGTCACTTGGAAACCACCCACGCGTTCAGCCCGGATGGGAAAGCGTGAAGAACAGCAGGGTTTCCAGGTGACCGGTTGCCGCCGGCAGAGCCCAGCGAGGTGACACGGGGGGCACGGGTGGCAACGAGGGGATGCCGGGCAGGTGAACAACCTGCAGACGGCCGAGAGCTCTCACGGTATCACAGCGGCGACACAAGGCGGCAGGAGGAACGCGAGGGAACGGCTCGGAGGTTAAAGGCGGGTGTAAAGGCGGCGTGCGGAGAGCGCAGCGGGGCCGGGGGCAGCGGGAGGGGCCGGGACGGCCCGGGCTCGGCCGGCGGCGGGCGGGGCGGCAACGCGGGGCCGGGCGGCCATGGCGGGGCAGGGCCGGGGGTCGCTGCCCTACCGCAGGGAAGGTTCCTACCTGCGCTGCGACGGTGCCCGGTGATCACGGCCTCTCCGGTCAGCGGGTGCAGCCAGGTCGTGCTCTTCGCCTCCTCGCTGCGGGGACGCACACAAGGACCGGTCAGCGAGCAGTCGGGCAGCGGTCTCCCCCCCCCCACCAACGCGCCCAGCCCCCGCCCCGCGACCCGCGACCCCTTCCCTTCCCCCAGCAATGCCCCGCTCACTTGATGAAGAAGACGCGGCCGCCCTGGCTGATCCCGTAACTCCAGCTGCCGGGCAGCGCCCGCAGCCGCTCCACGCTCAGCTCCGCCGGGGCCGCCATGGCCGAGCGCAGCTACCAGCGCAGCCGGGGAGAGCCGAGGGGAGCGGGGCGGGGGGGGGTGAGGGGGGAGAGCGGCGCGGGCACGAGCGAGCGCGTCCCCGCCGGCGCCGCCGACACCTTGGGGAGAGGGCGGGCGCCGCGCGCTGGGGAGGAGCACGGCGGCACGCCCCGCCCCGCCCGCCCTGGCACTCCCCGCCCACCGCGGGGGCGCGCGCGGCTCCCCGCTTGGCGGCACGCCCACCCGCGGGGGCGCGCCTTCTCCCCCGCCGCGGCCGTTGAGGCGGGGCTGCGGGGCGAGTTCCGGCGGGGGGGAAGGGCGGGAGCGGACAACGCGGGCGGCGCGGTCTCTGAAAGGAGCCGGGGGTCGCCCGGTGGGCGACGAGTTTTTCTGGTCGGCAAAAGCGATGCCGAAGGGAAAGAAGGGTCCTTCCGCTGCCGTGGCCCGCCTGGAGAAAGCGGAACGCAGGCCCGGGGCTAAGCTCAGAGCCAGCGCCTGTCCCGCGGCGGGATCCTGATGTGTGTCACAGCCCCCGGCTGCCAGCAGCAGCTCTGCTCCTCGGGTCTTTACGGCACGCTTTCCTACAGGAAATTAAACTTTTATCGAATTTCTTCCAGGAGCGCGTGTGCTGCTCTGCTATCAACTTCTGACTTTCCTTTTATTTCTCACGTGTGGCCTTCAGCAGTGAGCGACACCACGTTTTTCTCTGGGGACCCAACGGCTGTGCCCAGCCGCAGACCAGGGGCACGGCCAGAAGCGTTCTGTGCTCCAGGAGGTGGTGGTGAACGAGGTGAAATCCACGCGCGGAGGTGGATCTGTGCATGTCCTTGTGATGAGCAATCTGAGTGGGTATGCTCGGCTTTGATTGAAGTTACAAATAAAAATCACAGATTACTAGAGCTGTGTGGTGGCTGTGATCTTTCTGAGAGAATCTTGCCTTACAAAACCATGTTCTAGACCAGAACTGGGAAGCCTGAGGTGTTCCTGCATCCACAGAAACACTGAAACTCTGGGCTGGCCGCGTTGCGAGGAACAGCTTTGCCCTCCTTGTGTTCCCATTCTGATTAAATCTGACAAAGCAAGTTGCCACGTGGCTCGTTCCGCACCACACCTTGTGGCTAAAACCTTAAAACCCAGTTGTTCTGTACAAGGTACTCCAGACCCAAAGCACAGTGAACGTGTCAGCAGACACTGTTATCTTTAAGTAACTGAATGTGAGATAAGAATCCCTCTCTGCCCAACATTACCCTTCGTTTCCACTCACCTCTGACAGCACCTGAGATTTATGGACTACCAAAGATTCACTGGGGAGAACACAAGTTATTCTCTAAACAGTTCCTTCTCTCCTCAGAGCAAGAGCCCTCAGGTGACAAGTAAAAGTGAATAATGACCCTTCCACTGAGGAGCTGTGGAAGGCTGCCTGGCAACAGCATGGGGGAAATCACATGCATTTTGGGCTTGTGAGGCAGTGATCACAACTGACTTCCCTCATGCAGCCTAACCAACGCAAAGAGCAAGTGCTCTCAGTCTTGAGAGCACTGCAAACCTTCCATCATGCCGAATCAGCTTTCTTCACTAGCAGAAGGTACCATACAGCAGGATGTGTACTGGCCCAGATCCATAAAATAAGCTAGATGATGATAGAATTCAGGTACATAAATCCTTCCAAAACTCAGCATGTGCTTTGTTGAACACACCTTCGTTAGGAAAAGAAGTTTTGCCAGTTGCAGCCTTCTTTATGTTTTGCTTGTGTTTCGACTAGCTGCCTTCTTGGTGAAACTAAGTAGAGCAGTGCATAAAGTATTTCAGAGCCTGCCTGAATTCTTGGATAAAAGCTTGCCATGAAGGCCTGATAAATTGGCTGCAGTCAGACCATGTGTAGGGAGGACTTACAGGATTAGTTTCTTTATAATTCACAGCAAACAGGTTGGTGACAGCGTCACCACCAAGAAAATCGCTTCAGCCTGCAGGAGGAAGAAGGGTTTTTAGAGCCATGTCATTCTCTTCCCAGGAAAATGCTTTTGCTCCATCCTCTCGGCTATTCGGAAGCTGAGACTGTTTTATGAGTACACTGAAGGTGCTCCATCTCCCCCTTTGAAGTCACATTATCTTGCAAATTATTGGGCTGTATGGTGGTAGCGTGACTTGCTGGTTACATGAATAGGGAGCTCATCCAGGGCGTGATGGAAAATCCTGGTTCAACTCCATTGTTCAGGGACTCTTAGTCATTTTATGTTAAACAGTCATCAAGTAAAATCCGGTATTTGTAGTTCTGAAACATATGGAAGGCACATTTTGACTCTACTTTCAGGAATTAATCCTGCAAGATGGCATGCACCATGAATTCATGTTGCTTTGACTTAAAGGGAGCTTATAATCAGGAGGGAGAACAACTTTTTATACAGCCTGATGGTGACAGGACAAGGGGAAATGGTTTTGAACTAAAAGAGGGGAGAATTAGATTGGATACTAGGTGGACATTTTTCATGGAGAATGTGGTGAGGCATTGGAGCAGGCTGCCCAGAGAAGTTGTGGATGACCTTTCCTTGGAGTTGTTCAAGGCCAGGTTGCATGGGGCCCTGGTCAACCTGATTTAGCAAGTGGCGACCCTCCAATGGCAAGGGTGTTGGAACCGGATGATTTTCAAGATGCCTTCCAATCTAAGTCATTATGTGGTTTTATGGTTTCTCAGAGGTCAGTGCTTTATCATTTTGTGGAATGGAGCCCTTGAACAGTGTGAGTGAAGCCACACTTGCACCATTTGTGCAGGCTGGTACCACTTGGGTTAACAGTCTTTCATTCTGAAAATTGCTGTTTAGTCAAAGTTTTTGCTTCAATCTTAGTGTGAAAGTTTGCTAAAAGCAAATCATACACTGAGATTTGATAAAGCTCATTAGGAGTGTGTCCCTTTTACAGTCAGACAAGTTCTTAAGTGCTTTTTGAAAAGACTTTAGAATAATGTATTTTTTAAAAAGCCATGCCACCTAAAAGGATTAAAATTGTCTTTTAAAAGCAGTTTATATCACCATAACAACTCCATGCATATTTTACCTTTCTCATAATTTTTTTTTTTTACTATAAAAATGAGCCAATAATTCCAAATGTGAAATGGTCAGTCTGATTTACAAGACTCTCATAAATCCATCAGGATGCTCTCATCTGGCCAACAGATTCTCTTCACTGAATAGATGAAGAGGAACTGCTGAAGTAGTGACTACGAGTGAACAACTGCTCTCTGCCTTCTGCCTCCATGGCCTGATATGCCTGTTGCTCCTGTCACTGATGGGAAGCAGATGGAGGATGTGGAGCAAGTTGTTGCTGTATGTGTGAGGCAGGATGAGGAACAGAGCCCTCCCAGCAGTATAATGGCCTCTCATTCCTGAGAGCTTGGGATAAACTGAAAATCTGGCTTCCCTGAACTTTTTTCCATGGTTCTCCAATTTGAGCTCACTTTTTTCCTTCCTTGTTCACCTCTCCAAGACAGTAGCTTTACTAGCAGCTCCCTTAGGGTCAGGGAAGACATCAGAGCACTAAGTTTACTGATTTTTTTTTTTTTTTTTAATCATTTCAGCTCAGTAAAGTAGTCATAATCAAAACATTTAAAATTCCTAAGGCAATAGAACCCTGTCCATAAAACCAATAATCCCTTTAAATGGGATTAATTAAAAACCAGCACTGGGAGAGCATTCATTGACTAAGACTCAGAGAAATCCACCCACACCTCTCCCAACAGGTATGAGGTGACAACAAATGGTGAGCCAAGAAAAAGAGGGTTAGGTTTCTAAGCCAGCAACCTCTGAAGCAGGCAGAGAATGGCAGTTTTGACACTCCACCTAGAACTTATTCACAGTCTTGTGTTCGTCAAGGATGATTCTGTGTATTCTGTCAATACGAATGAAATTGGATGAGGCAGTAATACAGACTTGTCTGTGACTGTACATTTTTATGCTGTTTAGCCAGCAAGACAATATAAAATTTAACATGACAAGAAAAGACCATTGCTGGGGGTGCACTATTTCACATTCTAATAAGGAAGCGACTTCTGAATGGTGGGTCCCTTTTTAATCATAGAATCTTAGAATATCCTGAATTGAAAGAGACCCCACAAGGAACACTGAGTCCTTCCTTTGGACGCTCTCTTTTTCCCCCATCTGTAAACTAGTTTGTTGTGGGTTTTTTTTTTTTTTTGCCTCCGTAGTGATCTTGCAGTGCATGGTGAATCAGATTGGTTTGCTAATCTGGTATAAAATATGACATCAATCCTCTCAAATGATTCCTTTCCCATTAGATCAATGAATTGATCCAGCTTGTCCTGATCCAACACATAGAATGGGGAGAGAAGATCCACTCATGACAGAAGGGGAAAAAATCAACATTCTCAGAAGTTAGAATATCTTTGAGTAGATACAAGAGGCAATTTGACAAGGTCAGAGCAAACAAGAAAGAAAAGTTGTCTGAGACAGCCTCTGCAGACTGCTTTATTGGTAGAATGGAGCCTCTTTTTGCTATAAAGAGCCTGATAACACTGCAGGGCTCTTGTCCAGTAGCTTTGAAGGCTGCAAGTTTTCCTAGGGGTCATTAGTCCAAGTGGCACAGTAGTCTTCTTCGGGGTTAGTATAGAACATCGATCTGACTCAACAAGCTGTGGATCATTAACCTCACAGACTGATTTCACAGTTTGTAAGATAAAAGTTAAAGCCCACGCTTACTCAGGCAATAGAAATTTATTTTACAGTTTAATTGGTTTAATAGTCTGTGCTAAAAAAAAAAAAAAAAAGTTCATTTCAAAAATTTTCTAAGCTGCAATTAATGATTTTCAGGTAAGGTTGTGTAATGCAAAACTTTTCTTTCCCTTGAGACAATACATCCTTACATGAGGATTCAATTATTTTCCATTTAATTTCCTTAAAGATCCTGTCAAACTAATACAAAGCAAACTCCAAAGCAAGAGAGTGAGATTTACTTTTCCTTGGCAAGGAAACATCAGAAAAGCAAATGGGTTCATTATTCTTCTGACCAGCATCATCTTGTCAGAAAAATATTGACCAT